CATTTATACACTGCAGGGGTCTTTATCTGGAATTTCCAGAAACAGGTAATTAGTACACATTGAGTCTTTCTCCCCAGTTGATATCCACAAAAAGTTAGCTTCAGAGGGGAGAATTTGCGTCATTTCATACACAGCTGTTCCAGAAAAACCTATGAACTTCCTAATACCTTCCAGAGATTGTATTATCTTGTCTTCCCGCTAAAGAAGTTCCATAAAATCTCAAAATGTACATAAATATTTACATTTCTAAGACATTGTAGCCCAAAAGGTATTAACCCTAATTCAGTAAGTTTTAACTTTGTTCAAAAAAGTTCATTATGGATATTGGCTCATTATGGACATTAATGCTTATGATAATTTTTTTTTTTAATTTTTTTCATTAATTTGGTGCACTATATAGTGAAGGACTCAGAATTCGGCAAAAAAAATCAGAGTTAGCTAGGGACAGGTTTACTGCTGACAAAAACTTTTTTTAAATTTTCCCACTGAACTCTGGTAACACATCTCAGTTCTGGCCTGCAATATATAATTTTAACATTTGCCTGTCAAGTTTCAGTCCAGCATGAGATTTTACAACATGGAGACTCAGACAGACCAAGAACTATAGTATAGTTGTACTAGGAGCTGTCACTTTAATAATTTTTCCTTTCCCTCTCTGTCAGTCTGAAATTTTTCCCATATTCTTCACTGATGTCATCTCTTCTCTGAACAGAATATCTTCATTTTTAAAAGTCATGCAGTTTCCAGAACCTACTTTCTAGCTAGCATATTGCAGTCCTGTTACTTCCTTATCCTCTTGTTATTTTCAATCACTTCATTACATTCATTGTCCCAGCTTTCACCCTGCATAGTTGTTCTAGGTTTATTCCTTCTTCAGTATTTCAGAGCCTTTCAATAAGAAAAAACAACAATGAATTGTTTGTTTCTTTTCTACAAACGTAATACAATAAAAGCTTTGTTATCCAGCATGTTAGGGGAATGGGGGGGTGGGGAGGCGTGCCAGTAAGTCAAAAATTCCAGTTAACTAAGAAAAGGAGTACTTGTGGCACCTTAGAGACTAACCAATTTATTTGAGCATAAGCTTTCGTGAGCTACAGCTCACTTCATCGGATGCATAAAGTGGAAAGAGTTATACTTACCAATGGAGGGAAGGAATTTGAGTGTGGGAGGGAGCTCAGGGCTGAGAGTTGGGGTGTGGGCTCTGGGAGGGAGCTTGGGTGAGGGAAGGGGCTTGGGGTGCAGGAGGGTTTTTGGGGTGCTGGATCCGGGCATTTCTCACTTTGGGCAGCTCCCCAGAAGCAGCGACATGTCCCGGCTGCTCCTAGGTGGAGGTGCAGCCAGGAAGATCTGCCCACTGCCTCCGCCCGCAGGCGCCACCCCTGCAGCTCCCATTAGCTATGGTTCCCGGCCAATGGGAGCTGCAGAGCCAGCACCCGGGGCAGGAGCAGCACACCGAGCCCCCATGGCTGTTCCTCTGTCTAGGCGCAGCAGGGACATGTCACCGCTTCCGGGAAGCCACGCGGAGCCAGGTAGGGAACCTGCTGGCCTCGCGCCAACTGGACTTTTAATGGATATTAGAAACGCCAGTTTCTAGAGCTTTCCAGCTGGTGAAGTGCCGGATAACACAGCTTTTACTGTAGTGACTTTATACCATACAATTCCATTCATTTCCAAAAGGCAGGAGTAAAAACGGGAGGGAGGGGGAGAATACTAGTTAGTTTCCAAGATATAAAAAATTGGTTGATTTTTTTTTTAAATTAGAGTTAAAAAGTTTCTTGTAAAAATCAATTTGGTTTGACCAGCTTCAATTAACAGCTGGTTTAACATTTCACTTTGCATATTCATTCTTCCCCCTCTCCAACCCCATTCTACACACCACCACCTGCCAGATCAAGACAAGATAACACCATCAGACTACAACAAAAGAACAAAAAACAGTCACTGAATGTTTTTTTAGCAACATTACAGTAAACAAAATTCCTAATCACACAAGATGTGACAGACACACATGTTTTTAAAGGACTACATAATTAAGATAAAATTTATTATTTTATTTTGCATTAGCTGCCAGGAGGTGAAAGGCCCACTTTTACTCTTGGGCTTCTATTTCCATCTGCCTATCGTTCAGTATTTTTCTACTTTTCTTTTCCTATTTTCCCCTTTACATTCTTATTTAAGGTCCTCAGATTCAGCAAAACTTTCTCACTTAGGTTAACACCACCATGGCCTGGCCTGAAGTTCCCAATTAATTCTGCATTTCAGAGTTGCATGGATGCTACAGTTAAGCAGTCTGTCCTCAGACATAACCCTTTTCCTTTATTATTAACAGTCAGAGAGAGGCATGAGAAAGGAGGGAGGAGAGGAAGAAATGAACAATTAATTTTCTATCTATAAAAGAACTGTTTTTGAACTAAAGAACTATGATTCAAGTCAGACAGCTGAAGTGCAGCACCCACCCAACTGTCATCAGAGAGAGTGATTTAAGATTCAAGGACAACTCCTGGTGGTATTTCTAATTAATATGATTTCACTTTAATCTGGATCAGCAAACAGCAAAGTTCATCATTTAAATATTATAGCAGGAGAGATCAGATACCACCGTGATTGGTGCACTAACACACAGACAAACAACATTGAGAATGAAGAAATGTATTTTATGGTATTAGCAACCATGATAAAGATGAGAATTTTTTTTAAAATGATCACGTTCTCTATTACTTTTGACCATGTAAGAGCAGAGTCAAAATGCAATGTCCAGAGTATCCCCCAGTAGTGTAAATGCACAGAAATACAGCTTGGATGCACAAGAACATCTTCAGGCTCCAGAAGAAAATTACTTCCAGAGAACGAAATCCCCCGCTGTTGCCAGTGCCAAGACAACGTCTTGGAGATTAGACAAGATCAAACTCTGATCTTTACCTCCTAGGATAAAGATCATTCCTTACCAAATAGGCCTCTTCTTGGAAAATTAAAATTAACCCTACCAGTCTGAGCGTAAGTGTAGTAGGAGAAACCCTCCCAAAAGATAAGACACTGGAAACAGGAATTGCCATACTAAATCTGACAATAGTCCATCTAGTCCTGTATCATTGGTGGATAACTGCAAGTATCAGCTGCTTAAGAAAAAGATGCAACAAACTCTGCAGTAAGCAATTATGGAATAACACAAGGGAAGTTTTCTCCTAACCCCATATAGTTAAAGGCAGGCTTATGAGAAAGTTTGAAAAGATTTTAAACTTGATTTATTTTATCCATCTTGTTCCTAGTTTTTTTAAATATTTGAGAAGGAGTATAACATACTCGCTTCAGAGCTAGTTCATTCCCATGCTCTTACGTTCCTCCTTGCCAAACACTGAGCATACACAACCATTTCACATATCTGAAGCTTCCCTAGGTGCTGAACCAGCTTCTATCAGTAAAATGCAATAAAGGGAGCAATCAGTGAGGCCCTTAAATTTCAGCATATTAAATACTTGACATGCTCAGGGCCCATAATGGTGAAGTACACCAGAAAAAGAACATGCAAATGTCATAGAAAGGCAACACATAAAAAGTGTACTTCCTTACCAACTGAATTTTTAAAGGTTCATCACTAAAACAAATACAAAATGAATGGAGAACACTCTCACCCCACATTCTTACTTAATTTTTGTAACATCTATGTAGTGCAGGGAACTTCCCGTGTTGAACATTTAAAGAATTCCTTCACTAGAGGCCAAATTTCAGCGTCTTTAATGGAACAAAAAGAGTGTCACTCCACTAAAGATTTGGCAGTATGATACTAGATCTATGACTTACAAAGAGCAATAAGTCATAGGGATAGCAGGAGGGTTAAAAGTAACAAGGTTTTTTTTTCCATGTGTAAATTCTATGGTAAAAATATGCTTACATAATGGACAACAGGCAAAATATAGGCTACATTTTTGAAGAAAGGGGAATATAGGATGTACTGTAGTCACTTGTGCTTCCAGTAACAACACTACATGAAAGAAAAATGAGAAAGGACTTACTTTTAAAAGCGCCAGCTAACCTCAAAATAGCCCTGCCATGAAATTACCACAACTGACAGTGTGCTCATTTCCCTACTTAATAAATAAAATTAGTACTCAGGATAGAAAAATTTGGTTTAAAGCATTAGCAAACAATCTTAGAAAGTGTAATGAGCGAAAGAGCCAGAAGGCTAACTACTCAGTACACATGTAGCATCAATAGGACAGATAAGTTATAAGAAGTTACTGCATTCTGATGTCTATTAAAAGGTAAAGATAATATGTATAAAGTAGATAAAGAAAACTATTGCTAACTTGAATAAATACTGAATGAATATGACAATGATGCAGTTTATAAAGCCTATAAGAGAACGTAGCATGAAATGAGTTTTAATATAGCTATCCTAATATAACTTCCAACTGTTATCAGTTCACATTATTACAATAATTGCTAGCTCTGCTGACTGGGAATTAATTACATGCATTTTATTGTTTGGGGGTTTCTTAATTGTACTCTACACCACAGAGTGATCCTTTGTGTTGATTAAAACAGAGTTCACACCAATGGTCCACCTGAATTTTTAGGTAAAAGGGATGAAGATTAAAAACAAAGATTGGGACATGAAAGAAAATCCATAAAACTAAAAGATTATTTCATTTTCCAAACACACCCCCACATGCAGCACCTCCTCACCAAAAAAAAAAAAAAAAATGTTCTCTATAAGATATAAATTGCATAAACATTCTTTTTGTAAAAGGTTAGAGGCTGCATTGTATGCAGATTATGACATTTAATTTGAGGAAACTGTCAAAAAAAGCTGATTTGCATGTTTCACATTTTTAAAAAATCTTAATTAAACAATTCTAATCCTTTTCAATGTACACAAGGACAGATCACTTGCATAGCTTTTCCTGCTGTTTGTTTCCTTCTTGCTATACCTTTCAACCTTTGGCTGGATTTAAAATGAAGTGTAACATTGTATGCCAATCAATAAACTATTTGTGGCTTACCTTGGCACTGAAATCCTTGTTTCCCAAATCCCCTGTAAGGGAAAAAGACAAACACTGTCTTAACATAATTTAGTTATAGCTTCTTCCCACTAACCTACTATAATAAAAAACCTCATATTAAACTACATGATTTCAGGTTTTGCTAAGAAAGCAACAGCTTTTATAATACAAAACAAAGCATTAGCCCATCTATTTCAAATATGAGAATAGCAGTAGATTCCAGCTATGTAATTTCATTTTCTGGCAAACCATTATTTTAATTTTATTTTACAAGCAATTTTGGATCCACAATTATTGTCATCTGTGAATATTACATAATGTTACAATTCACTCCATGCCATGTGTATACTTACAATATTATAAATACTCCAACTGCTAGAGAGCTATAAAAAGAACCACAGTTGGATTCTAAGATCTCTCTCAATATGCATACTAAAATTCAACTATATAAAACAGCGACTGCAGGATGGTCAGGAGACAGATGTACAGAAAGGGGTTTGACAATGGTTGTTTTGGGGCTACTACAAAGAATATTCACCTAACACAAAGAAAATAAATTAATAATGGCCGCTGCTTTAATAACTATTGTAATTCTAATCTTTTAAAAATAATTCTATTAATAAGCTATCATTGTTTGAAACAATGATTTAAACATGTACATGGTATTAGCTATTGTACCTAGAGTTTAATAATGTATTAAATCTCACAAAAATCACCACCTCATTTTTAATTTTGACATGGAGTTTTCTGTCCATCAAAAAAAAATAATTATTATTTTCAGTACTCATTTACACACACACACACAAAAAAAAGAGTACTTGTGGCACCTTAGAGACTAACAAATTTATTTGAGCATAAGCTTTCGTGAGTCTCTAAGGTGCCACAAGTACTCCTTTTTTTTTTTTGCGGATACAGACTAACACGGCTGCTACTCTGAAACCACACGCTCTCTACATTCTCTCTTTTGAGGATGTTTTTTAATCTGAGGTGTAGTGTTTTTTCTGAGAGAAAATAAAACCAAATTACAACAACAAACATCCAGCAAAAGCCATTACATCGAATATAGCTCCCTTTAGCAAAAATAGGTATGAAGTTTAGCTACAAAATTGATTAAATAACAATAACATCTCTTCCTCATATCCAAACATTTATTGAGATTTAGAGAAAAAAAAATCATTTAGAGAAACCTCATGTAACTTCAGTAAAAGTTTAGTTCAAATTAAAGTTGACATTAAAGGGACACTCAACTTTACAAAACAATTTACAGTTTTCCCTGAAATGTTTTTCATACTGTTATTACAAGTGACATCTAAGATCATGGTACTGGAAAGATTATAAAATTGTATTTGTTTATTTACTCTGAGTATATTTGACAATACTTGGCATACAGTCTTTTCACTGTTTCCCTGTTTGTGTGGGTCTTTCACTCCATAACACACAAGAGAAAAATTGTTTTTGTTTTTCTAAAATATACAAATATAATTGTAAAACTACCAAAACAGACAACAGAACTAAGGCTGGACACAGAACCTGAAACTACTTTTAGGTTGAAGTGAGCTGTAGCTCACGAAAGCTCATGCTCAAATAAATTGGTTAGTCTCCAAGGTGCCACAAGTACTCCTTTTCTTTTTACTTTTAGGTTGTTTCTTTATTTTGTTAGACGATTAGATTTCAAGACAACAGTGTTCTTTGAACAGCTAAACTGAGACTGCATCCTTTCTTCGTGGTTTGTACTGAAACACACTAGTTCACATTCCAAGTCTGTTCTATGCAATCTATAGTGTAATGAATCTTTTTTTAATCCAAAATTTCACAAAATAAGTCAAACCTTGGGTAGAATTTCCTTTAAACAAATTTGGCAAGTCTAAATAAGAAACTGCTACCTAGTTCAAAATTAAGATCATCAAGTTTGATTTAAAAAAAAAAAACCACACACATTTGGAGAGGAACTTCATTCCACTGAAGTATTACATGTTCTTTATTCACACCTCCAAATGTTTAATAACAATCACATTCTTGATTTTTACCCCTCAACTGGAAATTGTTATGGGGATGCAACAGTTAGGTGTCCATTTAATGACCTCTGAAGATACCATACTTGCCATGTTTTTGGTACAAAAGCACCAAATATTGCATCTGACTTTAAACCAATAATGAAAAAAAAATGTACTCAAGCAGCTGCATGCTGTCTTTGAAGAACATTTAAGAGCTTCCTAGACTTACTAGCAAGGAAAGACCACAGCGTACAACTACTCTTGCCACCTGTCAACAACAGGATATCCTTGCACTTTCAAATACATCCTGTAATCAGGTGCCTTTTATCAGGGCGGTATTGTTTTTAAAAACTGCGTTATTTATCTGTACCAATACATGCTGGCAATAAACCCTGCAGCATTCTTTCACACCTGCCAAGTCTCACTCTTTTTGGATTTATTTTAAAGCAGTTTTTAAATTCTTCTACTTTTACAATGAAGGGTTTTGCAATTTCCCTCCAATTGTGACAGTGTGAGAAGCCAGAACATATATTTCCCTTTTACATCGTTCTACAGCAGGGGTCCCCAATGTGGTGCCCGCAGGCGCAATGGCGCCCACCGGGGCAGTTGTGTGCGCCCGCAGGACACTGTGCTGCCGAAATGCTGCCGCCGAGCGTGGCCACCGGAGAACTGCCCGCTGAAATGCCACCGAGAAGCGTTGCGGTTTCTCGGCCGCATTTCAGTGGCGGGGTGTCTGGCGCCAGCCACAGTCTTCTGGGAAAAGGAATATGCTATTCCCACAGAAAGGTTGGGGACCACTGATCTACAGTCTGCCAATGTCCATTTCAGCCACTCCTCCCCACACATATTTTCAACAGTTTGTTGCATGCTCCCCTCTCACGCATTTTATTGTGTTTGCTAATAGAATCAGTCTCTCTCTTCCACGGCATCCAAGTTAAAGCACGCAGTACAAAGAGAGAAACTGGGAATGTACAGTAGGCCAAGGATCATGCTGCCCAGTGCATGCTGAGGGAGCCAGCCAAGTGCAACGTGCACACAGCCAGTTGCATGCCTTCCTGTCACCATCTTCTCACACGGCTGAGCCCCAAGGAACAACAGACCTTCCTTTCAGCAGTGCTTAGATCACCACCGCTCTCACTAACACCAGTGGGAAGGGTGGCTGCTCTACAAATTTGAAGATAAGCCCCCAGGTCTTTCCTCTCTCCACACAAGTTGTAGTATGCAACAAAAAGAGAAGGAAGCACATGAATGTATATAATTTACAAGTGAGCCAAGTGTCCCACCCATTCCCACTGTCTCATCCAGCTCAGGTCACGGGGTATGAGTGATCAGCCTGCACACTACTCATTTTTGCCCTTCTTAGCAGAGGGTATAGAATCATAGAATATCAGGGTTGGAAGGGACCTCAGGAGGTCATCTAGTCCAACCCCCTGCTCAAAGCAGGACCAATCCCCAATTTTTGCCCCGATACCTAAATGGCCCCCTCAGGGATTGAACTCGCAACCCTGGATTTAGCAGGCCAGTGCTCAAACCACTGAGCTATCCCTCCCCCTACAATGCAGCTAAGCCAACCACATGCAAGCACACACTGAAATTGCCCTGTCTGGCATAGGTTATGAGTGAGCGGAGTACACCACTTGGCCAAGCGCATGACAGGGACTAAGTATTCAGTTTTTGCTTCTGGATCCTGAACGGTTTGTTGTAGAGCCTTGCAACCTGCCCGGGACCCAATTCCCAGTATCAGGTTTGAATCCATCAGGTTGGGTCTGAAAAGAACCAATCTTCTCAGATTCAGGTCTGGTCAGGTAGGCTCTGATCATCTCCTCCTGCTGTGAGGTCGGTGCTGCAGCAGCTGCGTGCCCCACCCCTGCCAACCACCACCACCTCACTGTGCTGTGAATGCTGCAGACTGCACTCACGAGTCACAGCACATCTCACTCCGCAGTGCACACAGCGCAGCCAGGCAGCAGTGGCAGGGCACACACCTGCCACTGTGCTGACCCCATGGGCAGGAGACGGCCGGAGAGGATTCACAGGCACGAGAAGTGAGAAGCCACTACCCAACTGAACCCCAAGTACGAGGTGGAGGCAGCCCTGACCCCAGTTTGGAGGGAAGTGTCGGGTCCAGGTTGGATCTAAAAAGGACTCGACATGCTCAGGTCAGGTTTGTGCCTAGGTTGCGTTCTGGTCAGGCTTTAAAATTAAGCCCGAGCAGACCTCTAATTTGATTATTTTGTTCTCGGTCTCTCAGCAGCCTCTTTCCTAGACTTGCTAATCCAGAGGCACCGGCTGCAATCTATTTTCTCATCTCCTTGCCCTCCACAGGCAGCAACAGGGAACACAGGAACAGCAGCTATCACAAAGATAATGAAAAGGCCACAAAAGTTTTGCTGAATGACTAGAGATTGTTGCAAATGCTGGGAAGTCCCTTACCAGATTAAATCAGTGGCTGTAGAACCTGGGGCAGGATGAGATTAGATGTATGTATGCCAGGAAGGATAAAGTGGGCACATGTGGGAGACTCAGCAAATGAAATCAGTGAAGTGACACCAGAACTTGGGTTGGGGGAGGAGGGATAAATACGCATGGTGGTCTGGAGGAGATGGGGTGTGCTCCATGTATCACAATAAGGAAACAGATGTTTAGGGGATGGAGAACAGTCCAAGCGATTATCCCCAGATTAAGCTGATCCTCTGGCTGCAGAACATGGGTTGGATGCATATCAGAGGACTGCAGGGAGTGTTCATTTCTTGCCCAAGGGTCATTTCCCAGGAGTCCCCAGGGTGCATGGTCTCCTGAAGAGACTCACAAAACAAAGTGCAATGGCTGCAAAACAGGGGTGCGTGTGCATTATGGCACGGGTCAGAGAACATAATGGGAGGTGATGTAGAGTTGTTCTCAGGGTTCAAGCTAGGGGATTCCCCAGTTAAGAGTCACCAGTGGCTGCAGGATGTGAGCAAAATGCATTCCTATAGGAGAATTACTGGGGAAGTCGCCAAATGAAGTTAATGTACTAAGTTAATGTAGTTAATGTACTGCAGAAGGTGTGCTGGGCAACGGGGCAAATATGTAGATATGTTGTGGTGGAGGCAATATGGGGGGTAAGGAGGAAGGTCACTCGGATTAAATGAGTGCAGTAGGGCTGCACTACGTGGCCTACCTAAGGTGATCAGATATGAGGGAAGGCATATGGCATGGAGGAAATCCTCCCTAGCAAGGTGTGGGAACAGCAAGGTACAAGTGGTACGGTTGGGTCTCTCACCAAATTCAATAGGTGCAGCGGCAACATAAGGAGGGCTGGCTGAGGTGGGTAGTTCATGATGCATCCTGAATCATGGGGGGAGAGGACAGATGGTACAGGCAAGGTAGCAGGGAGTCTCACCAGACGAAATCAGTACAGTGGATGCAAGAAGAGGGCTACCAAAGAGGGCAGTGGGGGGGGGTGATATAGGGAGCAGGGGGTGCATTGGGGGGCTCTCACCAGAAGACATCAGTGCAATGGCTGCAGGAGGAGATGGTATAGGAGCAGTATACAGGGGTCTCTCACCAGATGAAGTCAGTGCAGTGGCAGCAGAAGGGTGGGTGGCTCGGATCGTATAGAGACCAGGGGTGGTATAAGGTGGTGTAAGTGGCAGGAAGCAATATGGGTGTGGTATACTGGCAGGGACAGTACAGGAGCAGGGCAGGGGTCTCTGACCAGGTGAAGTCGGTGCAGTAGCTGCAGGAGAGGGTTGCCTGGGGGGCACTATAGGGTGGTGTAAGCTGCAGGGAGCACTACAGGGGTGGTATAGGAGCAGGGGCAGTACAGAGGTGGTACAGGAGCAGTACTGGGGATCTCTCACCAGATGAAGTCAGTGCAGTGGCTGCAGGAGGAGGGTTGAAGATAGCAGGGAGCAATACGGGGGTAGTATAGGGCCATGGGCAGTACGGGGGCAGTGCAGGGATTGTATAAGGGGGTCTCTCACCAGACGAAGTCTGTGCAGGAGGTGGGTGCCTGGGGGGCGGTATAGGGCAGTGTGAGCGGCAGGGAGCAGTATGGGAGTAGGTATAGGGGTAGGGAGCAGTACAGGGATGGTATAGGGGAAGGGACAACACAGAGGTACATAGGGGGTCTCTCACCAGATGAAGTCAGTGCAGTGACTGCACGAGGGGGGTGACTAGAGGATGGTATAAGGGGCAGGGGCAGCACAGGGGTGGTATAGGGATAGGGGCTGTCCAAGAGAGGTACAGAGGGGGTCTCTCATCAGATGAAGTCGGTACAGGGGCTGCAGGAGAGGGGTGACCGGGGGGCGGTATAAGGGGCAGGGGCAGCACAGGGGCGATGTAGGGACGGGGGGGTCTCACCAGATGAAGTCGGTGCACGGGCTGCAGGAGGGGGTGACCAGGGGGCGGTGTAAGGGGCAGGGGCAGCCCGGGGGCAGTGTAGAGACAGGGAGGTACAGGGGGGGTCTCACCAGATGAAGTCGGTACAGGGGCTGCAGGAGGGGGTGACCGGGGGGCGGTGTAAGGGGCAGGGGCAGCTCGGGGGCGGTGTAGGGACGGGGGGGGGAAAAGGGGGGGGTCTCACCAGATGAAGTCGGTGAAGGGGCTGCAGGAGGGGGTGACCAGGGGGCAGTGTAAGGGGCAGGGGCAGCCCGGGGGCGGTATAGGGACGGAGGGGTACGGGGGAGGGGTCTCACCAGATGAAGTTGGTGCAGGGGCGGCAGGAGGGGGTGACCAGGGGGCGGTGTAAAGGGCAGGGGCAGCCCGGGGGCAGTGTAGGGACGGGGGGTGGGGTCCCGAGGGGGGGTCTCACCAGATGAAGTCGGTGCAGGGGCTGCAGGAGGGGGGTGACCGGGGGCGGTATAAGGGGCAGGGGCAGCTCGGGGGCGGTGTAGGGACGGAGGGATACGGGGGGGTCTCACCAGATGAAGTCGGTGCAGGGGCTGCAGGAGGGGGGTGACCGGGGGGCGGTATAAGGGGCAGGGGCAGCTCGGGGGCGGTGTAGGGACGGAGGGGTACAGGGGGGGTCTCACCAGATGAAGTCGGTGCAGGGGCTGCAGGAGGGGTGACCAGGGGGCGGTGTAAGGGGCAGGGGCAGCCCGGGGGCGGTGTAGGGACAGGGGGGGGGCGGGGGGGGGGGGGTCTCACCAGATGAAGTCGGTGCAGGGGCTGCAGGAGGGGGTGACCAGGGGGCGGTGTAAGGGGCAGGGGCAGCTCGGGGGCGGTGTAGGGACGGAGGGGTACAGGGGGGGTCTCACCAGATGAAGTCGGTGCAGGGGCTGCAGGAGGGGGTGACCAGGGGGCGGTGTAAGGGGCAGCCCGGGGCGGTGTAGGGACAGGGGGTCCCGAGGGGGGGTCTCACCAGATGAAGTCGGTGCAGTGGCTGCAGGAGGGGGTGACCGGGGGCGGTGTAAGGGGCAGGCCCGGGGGCGGTGTAGGGACGGGGGGGTCCCGAGGGGGGGGGTCTCACCAGATGAAGTCGGTGCAGGGGCTGCAGGAGGGGGTGACCGGGGGCGGGATAAGGGGCAGGGGCAGCCCGGGGGCGGTGTAGGGACGGAGGGGTGCAGGGGGGTCTCACCAGATGAAGTCGGTGAGGGGCTGAGGAGGAGGTGACCGGGGGGGTGTAGGGGAGCGGGGCGGTGTAGGGACGGGGGGTTCCGAGGGGGGGGTCTCACCAGATGAAGTCGGTGCAGGGGCTGCAGGAGGGGGTGACCGGGGGGCGGTGTAAGGGGCAGGGGCAGCCCGGGGGCGGTGTAGGGACGGGGGGGTTCCGAGGGGGGGGGTCTCACCAGATGAAGTCGGTGCAGGGGCTGCAGGAGGGGTGACCGGGGGGCGGTGTAAGGGGCAGCCCGGGGGCGGTGTAGGGACGGGGGGGTTCCGAGGGGGGGGTCTCACCAGATGAAGTCGGTGCAGGGGCTGCAGGAGGAGGTGACCGGGGGGCGGGATAAGGGGCAGGGGCAGCCCGGGGGCGGTGTAGGGACAGGGGCGGGGGGGGGGGGGGTCTCACCAGATGAAGTCGGTGCAGGGGCTGCAGGAGGGGGTGACCAGGGGGCGGTGTAAGGGGCAGGGGCAGCTCGGGGGCGGTGTAGGGACGGAGGGTTCCGGGGGGGGTCTCACCAGATGAAGTCGGTGCAGGGGCTGCAGGAGGGGGTGACCGGGGGCGGTGTAAGGGGCAGGGGCAGCTCGGGGGCGGTGTAGGGACGGAGGGATACGGGGGGGTCTCACCAGATGAAGTCGGTGCAGGGGCTGCAGGAGGGGATGACCGGGGGCGGTGTAAGGGGCAGCCCGGGGGCGGTGTAGGGACAGGGGGTCCCGAGGGGGGGGTCTCACCAGATGAAGTCGGTGCAGTGGCTGCAGAACGTGGGCTGCTTGAAGAAGCGCGCGGTGAATTTATGCTCCTTCACCTCGTGCACGTTCTTCTGCCTCAGGGCTCCCTTGCGAGCGAAGCGCTGCACCACGTCCGGGGCCGCGCCGGGCTCGTGGGCCGGGAACACGTCGGCCATGGCGCCCCCTCGCTGCTCCCGCCGGGAGCCGGGCTGCGCCGGGAGCCGCCGTCCGCCCCGTCCGGCAACCGCCGAGCCTCTGGCAGCGGCGGGGCTGGGCGCTGCCTCCGGCTCCGGCTCCTGACGTGCGAGCCGCGCGTCGGGGGCGGGGGGAGGATCCCAGCGCGGCGGCTCCGCCCGTGCGCGGGGCCCGGCTCGCCGGCTCTGGGCGGCCGCAAGGGCGGCGGGGCAGGTCCGGGCCGGCCCGGGCCCGGCGGGGAGCGGTGCGGGGCCAGTCCTCGTCCCGCACACACACAGAGCCCGTGACAGCCCTTCTCCCCCCCCCCCGTCCTTTCCCCCCTCCCTAATACACTGCCCTTCCCGCTCCCCACAGCGATTTCCCTCACACGCTGCCCCCTTCCCACACACACACACACTGCCCCCTCTGCACACTCCTTCCTCCCCACACACTGCCCTTCCCGCTCCCCACAGCGATTTCCCTCACACGCTGCCCCCTTCCCCACACACACACACACACTACCCCCTCTGCACACTCCTTCCTCCCCACACACTGCCCTTCCCCCTCCCCACAGCGATTTCCCTCACACCCCCCCCCCCCCCCCCCCCCCCCCCCCCCCCCCCCCCCCCCCCCCCCCCCCCCCCCCCCCCCCCTCCCGCTCCCCACAGCGATTTCCCTCACACGCTGCCCCCTTCCCACACACACACACACACACACTGCCCCCTCTGCACACTCCTTCCTCCCCACACACTGCCCTTCCCGCTCCCCACAGCGATTTCCCTCACACGCTGCCCCCTTCCCCACACACACACACACACTACCCCCTCTGCACACTCCTTCCTCCCCACACACTGGCCTTCCCGCTCCCCACAGCGATTTCCCTCACACGCTGCCCCCTTCCCACACACACCCCCCCCCCCCCTTCCCACACACTGCCCCCTCTGCACACTCCCTTCCTTCCCCACACACTGCCCTTCCCGCTCCCCACAGCGATTTCCCTCACACGCTGCCCCCTTCCCACACACACACACACACACACACTGCCCCCTCTGCACACTCCTTCCTCCCCACACACTGCTGCCCTTCCCGCTCCCCACAGCGATTTCCCTCACACGCTGCCCCCTTCCCACCACACACACACACACACACACTGCCCCCTCTGCACACTCCTTCCTCCCCACACACTGCCCTTCCCGCTCCCCACAGCGATTTCCCTCCACCTGCCCCCTTCCCACACCCCCCCACACGCTGCCCCCTCTGCCCTCCCCACACACCCCCCCCCCCACAGCGATTTCCCCCACACGCTGCCCCCTTCCCACACACACACACACACTGCCCCCTCTGCACACTCCTTCCTCCCCACACACTGCCCTTCCCGCTCCCCACAGCGATTTCCCTCACACGCTGCCCCCTTCCCACCACACACACACACACTGCCCCCTCTGCACACTCCTTCCTCCCCACACACTGCCCTTCCCGCTCCCCACAGCGATTTCCCTCACACGCTGCCCCCTTCCCACACACACACACACACACTACCCCCTCTGCACACTCCTTCCTCCCCACACACTGCCCTTCCCGCTCCCCACAGCGATTTCCCTCACACGCTGCCCCCTTCCCACACACACACACACACACTACCCCCTCTGCACACTCCTTCCTCCCCACACACTGCCCTTCCCCCTCCCCACAGCGATTTCCCTCATACGCTGCCCCCTTCCCCACACACACACACACACTGCCCCCTCTGCACACTCCTTCCTCCCCACACACTGCCCTTCCCCCTCCCCACAGCGATTTCCCTCATACGCTGCCCCCTTCCCACACACACACTACCCCCTCTGCACACTCCTTCCTCCCCACACACTGCCCTTCCCCCTCCCCACAGTGGTTCCCCCACACCCTGCCCCCTCTGCACACTCCTTCCCCCCGAAGCACCCTGCCCCCTCCCTAATACATAGCCCTTCCCCCTCCCCACAGCAATTCCCCCCACACTGCCCCCTCCCCCCACACACTGCCCCCTCTGCATACTCCTCCCCCCCACACACACACTGCCCCCTCTGCACACGCCTTCCCCCCACATGCTGCCCCCTCCCTAAAACACAGTCCTTCCCCCACCACACAGCGATTCCACACACACACACTGCCCCCTCTGCGCACTCTTTTCCCCAACACACTGTCTCCTCCTTCCCCCCCACACTACCCCCTTCTGCACACTCCTTCTCCCCCCCACACACTGCCCCCTCCGTAATACACAACCCTCCCCCCACACCCTCCCCCATCCAACCCTTCCCTCCCCACTGCGCAGCCCTTCCCCCCACATACTGCCCCTTTCTGCACACCCCTTCCTAATACACAGTCCTTCCCACACACACACCTCCTGCAACCCTTCCCTCCCCACGCTGCACAGCCCTTCCCCCAATATACAGCCCTTCCCACACACTTCCCCCTCCCTGATACACAGCCTTCCCCCACACCCCTACCATGCAACCCTTTCCTCCCCACTGCATAGCCCTTCCCCATCACACACACACCAGGCAGCCCTTCTTCCCACACACAGCCCTTCCCTCACTGCACAGCCCTGCCCCCATGCCCACACTGCACAGCCCTTCCCACTCATACAGCCCCCTCCCCCCATTGCCAGCGTCCACCGACCACACTCCCCCCTGCGCAGCCCTTCCCCACCACTACCACAGCCCTACCTCCCCCTACACAATCACCTGCCCCACCACAACACACAGTGCAACTGGCACCACACACACCACTGGCACAACACACAACCAACCACCTCCCCACTACAACACACACAATACACCTGACACCACACAGCCCACTACACAACACATACAGCTCCTTCCTCCACAAGACACAAACCAATCCCCTCCCCCACTACAACACAAACAGAGCAACTGAACCCTACTATACAACACACACCATCAACAGCCTCCCCGACTACGACACACCCAGTGCACCTGGCACCACACACCTTATTAGACAACACACACACACAAATCTCCCCCATTACAACTGACGCACAAATCCTCCCCACAATTACACAATACAAAATGCAAGTCGCACCACACACACACACCTCCACACCCAAAATTCACTCCGCCACAACACACAACAAATATACATGGTGCCAACTGCACTGTCATCCAACCTCTCACACACACACACGTCCAGATGCACAATCCACCCCACCCTACAACATACAACATACATATACACAGAGTGCAACTGGCACCAAACACCCTACACTACACTATCCCCCCCAATGCATCACACACAACACCACAATAAAGGTACACAGAGTGTGCAGCTGGCACCACACACCCATACTGCACAATACCACAAACCCCTATCACCCACCTGCATCCATTATGCACACAGCCCCCTACCACTACAACGCACAACATATACAAAGTGCAACCACACAATACCCCATCACCAGCACAACACACAAATATACACACAGAGTGCAATTGGTACCGCACATCACAACTTCCTCCACCACCTCACACCCACAACCTCCCCACCACAAAACATATGCGCACAAAAAACAGTACGGCCAGTGTTTGCTACCTCTCACCACGCACATATAACCATCCATCACTAACCCACACAGCAAACAGTGCAACTGACAATGTGCCCCACACTACAATACCCCACATCACCACCACCACCACCCACAGATACACACCCATAACCCCCCACTGCTACAACAAACACAGACTGCAGGTGGAACCTGCTTCTAACCACACACAACACACACACAGTAAACACATACACAGAGTACATCCAGTACTTGCTGCCTTTCATCACACAGAACGCCCACTTCTACTAAAGTACATATACACACTATATTACACACACTATCCTCACTACTACAACAAACACAGAGTGCAGCCAGTATCTGCTGCCTCTCACAACACATGACCCCACCTCCACTAAAACACACACACCCAACAAACACACGGTGCAGATGGGACCTACTACCTCTTAGAACAAGAACATACACAGTGCACACACCATCAATCATGTAACAAACACATATAGAGAGTGCAGCCAGCACCCACCATATACCCACAGTGCGCCACACAACACAACACCTCCCTACAATATGCTTAACACACAGCAGGACACCTCTGATAATGCTCCTAACAAATACACCACACAACCAAGCAATACAACGCCCCAACACACAACAAAAACCCTGCACAACACACAGCTCCAACTATAACATACGCAAACACACCCAAAATACCTGGACACTCAAATATTCCCAATAGAGCACCTCTGTGTGCACTCACAAGGCACATCTACACCCATATGTGTGCACATAGCATATATCAAACACCCGATCAATGCCAAAGACCTAAATCATATTTATACTGTGTACAAATGCTTCTGAGTCTTTCATGTACGTGCATATATATATTTTTGTGAATGTGTGTAATATGTATTATCCCAGTCCAATACAGGTGTGTATATATATATATATATAAACATTTACAAATATGTGTAATATATATTCTCAGGCAGATACTTTAGTTATGTGGAGTTAAGGTTGAAAGAATCTTCTAGTTACCTCTGGCAAAAAAAATAAATAAACTGAAATAAGAGGAAGTTATATCTTTCTCCAAAACTACAAGCTTTAGAAAGCTCTGAAATTCCAAGTTAAGGTTCCACTTTATGAAGCAAAACACCACCACTAGAAAAATACAAACAGACGAGAAAGTAAACAAATGCATGAATCTTGACAACCAGAAACTGGGGATAATTTTTTAATCCATTACCTAAAATTATCTCATTAATGACCACAAAAATATTAATGCAGTAGGGCCTGATTTTCTGAATTGGTGAACGCTCCTTCCATGTGTAGAAGCAGGGATCTGCAAGTACTCTGAACCTCTTGCAATCAGGCGCATACTCTTATTGTACTGTACCTAGTTTGTGGCACTTCAGGGGCAAAGCTGAGGTTCATGGGTAGCTATTAGTTGTGTATTTAAATATTCATTTTTTCTTGTTTATTTATCGTAAATTTTAATCTTATCTTGGAATTTCCAGGGTTCCTAACA